AACGAACTCTAAAGAAACTCAATGCGAGGCTCAAACGAATTCTCAAGCATTCTAAATGCGAGGCTCAAACGAATTCCCAAGCATTCTTGATGCGAGGGGCTCAAACGAATCCTAAAGCATTCTTAATATGAGGTTTAAACAAACTCTGAAAGGATCCCAATGCGAGTCTCAACCGAGCTCTCAAGCATGCAATTATTTTGAGGTTAATTAACCTTCTATGGTACCAATAACGGCAATCTTAAGGATTATCCATTAATTATGCGCAAATCTCAATCTTAGTCTTAGTAACTTAAAATTAATTGAACAAATTATTAAATCACGTCGAGGTCACCATGTTTTTTATTTTAAGAAATAATAACAATTGCAAGTACAACTGCACACAAAAACTGCATTGAAAAGATAAGAGGATGATAACATACAATTAGGTTATTTGATATAAAACCATAGCAACATGCTATGATATGCTCGGCCACTGGAAAGTGCTGCTCTCTAGTGTAGCAAACGAGGAACAATTAATCCTCAGTTGAATGAGGGAACGGAAATGTTCGACGGAGGAAAACTGTAACCCGCGAAAATTCAACTTTTAGACCTTGAAATCAATGGGATTTTGGCCGTTCCTCCGACGGCAACGAGAACCATCCATTCGTCGCCACGGACACTACCAATGCTAAAAGAAATCGATCGCAAAGAGCTCTCCCGAGTGGGCGAGCTCAAAATGTCTCAAACAACTGACTACATTTGCGGAGCAGGAGCCTCTTTTGAGTAATTTTCAATCAAAATAGGCAGGTGATAAAGTTTTAATAAAATTGAGTTAAAATGTGTTTTGTTTAAAAAAATTAAAGAAACATTTTTGACGTGAATTTCCCATACGGACACTTTGAAAGATACCATCAGAATTGGCTTCCCTCTTCGTAAGTTTTTATTATTGTCTTACCAGTTTTTGAAAAGTGCTTTCGAACAGTCATTGCGATGAACTTTATCAATTCCAAAAGAAAACAAAGTACTTAGCTCGAAAAGTTTGTATAAATTCTCAGTAATACGGTTAATCATTATGAAATGGGTATAGTTATTAAAATTGTTAATTAAAGCTTCTAAGTTAATTAAAGTTAATTAAATATTGATCTTAATAAAACTATTATTTAAACGTGTATTAATTTTTTGTGTGGTCCCAACTGAAAATTAGATTGACAATTGAAGCCGTCTTACCTACTTAAAGTTCCTTAAAATGTACGACCACATCCCCCAGTTGTTGTAGTTTTCCCTTTCCCCATCTTGTTGTATTCAATTTATTAATTTTCTCAAGTCTAACCGTTGATGTACCGTCAAACTAACCGTTAAAATGTACGACCACATCCCCCAATATTTGTAGATTTCCCTTTCCTCGTCTATTAGTATTCAATTTATTAATTTTCTTAAGTCTAACTGTTGATCAATGAAGTAATAATTACTTCGGAAATTATTCATAATTTTATGAAAAATTGAGATTTGTCCAGTAATAAACAAAATAACAGAAACAGGAAATGGGTTTGTATTCCTTTCTTCTCTTACCTCGCCACCCTTTTAAGTATTACGTTAGTCCGGTTAGTGTGTTTCTTTTATGAGCTGCAATGACACGTATTTTCAGTTACGGATGTGAGGTTTGGCAGCTGAAAAACGGACACTGGATGCATTCAAAGCGACGGAGATGGCATTCTGGAGAGACTCCGTGGATATTTGGACGTATTTCTGCCAAACGGAACTATGGGCATTAAGGCATGAGCCCTGAGACCCATAAAAAATATATGCATAAAAGGGCTCACATCATAATGGACATAGTTCCGTTTGGCATAAATACGTCAATTTCTAGAAAAGATTGGTCCCGCATGATGATGAAGAGCGTCGGACTATGGAAGTCAAAAATAAAATCGTCTTTGAAGTCATGACCAAACAGCTGGTCTGGTATAGTGATGTGAACAGAATGACGATAGAAAAGTTGCCGAAAAAAACTACTTGGTTTGGTTTTTCCTGGGTGGATACGAAGCAGTGAAAGGATGGCGATAGGGGGTTTTAAATGAAATGGGGGAGGGGCTTCAACTCCCTGTACGGCTATAGGGAGATAGAGTACTGCGGCGATTAGGTGTGTATGTTTATTTTATATAATTAGATTTTTCTAAGCTCTAAATTGTAACTTATTCCTTTTATTTTCTATTCTTTGTTCTCTTCAGACTATTTTCTCTTTATTTATTTTGTGGGCACGGCATTTACCAAAGAACCTTACACTAGAAGGTGTCTAGCCTTGTTGATTTTCTTTATTTTTTCACTTCGTTATCCTAAACAATTTTCTTATTCTGGATGATTTATTTCTGCTCATTCGTGATTACTTCAAAGATAACGAAATAAAACAATAAATGAATGAACAAAAAATACATCGAAACCTGTCACTACAAATGATTTTCGCTTAGAAACGACGAAAAGCATATGTTCTAAATAATTCATTTTTGTACATACTGCTGTCTTTGGAAGCACGGAAAGTCGAGGCTACGGAGACGACAACCACTCACCTGCTTCAACAGAAAATGTTTCGGCACGCCCGGCAGGATATCCTTGACGAGAACTACTGACACCGCACAGCGCCGGGAGGGTTATGCCACCCACCTTCCACCGCCTGCCCACCGCCTACGCATGATCGTCCCCCGGTTCCCGCCAAATTCTCTCGTCCTACGTTTCCTCCCTTAATCCAGTCCGTGCAGGAATTATGAGAGAAATTTACTCGTGACAAAGATTAAAAATTTTCGCATCTACAAAAGGGCGCAAAAGGCACTTTCTGAAGAGTCTGCGAATTGAGATACTACTTATTAAGCCGCATCCAAAGGCGTGATAAGCATTTGTCAAAAGTCACATTTTGGGGGTCTAGAGGAACGTTCTCAAAAATTTTGAAAAAATGAATTTATTCTAAAGCATTTGATGAGGATTGTATGATTTGCCCTCTTCCCCATTAATCGAATCAGTGAGTTCGAAAACACACTAACTCGGGTTTTTTTTTCGATTTTCACTTTTTTACGGTTCAGTAACACTTATGGATAGAAGCATCTGCACGCAAAAGGAAATTTCGAAATTGCAATCGGAAGTATGCTCGAAACAGCGACGGGAAAAGGGAAGAATCAAAGTATTTCATGGAAACACCAGTTTTTGGCCATTTCAAGGGAAACGGGTGACCATCCAATTTTGCAGTTTTCTTTTTTCGGTTCAGTATATCTTGTACCAACAAGTTATATAAATATTCAAGCGTTATTCAGGTTGAGAAATATAAATTTTTCAGGGCAGACTATATGAAAAATAAGTATCTGAAAGTCGGTGAGAACGAAAACACACCAACTCGGAAATTTATAAACGCTTAATTCTCTGTTATCAAACATGGTGTATCGATTTCAACTTGGTGCTTTACAAAGTCGCTGAGTACTTGTCCTTTGGCACCAAAAAGGTTTTTCTTAAACTAACTTCTTCGCTCACTGCGCAGTTTTAGGTGTTTCCTGAACAATTTTTTTCCGAGTTGGTGTGTTTTCGAACTCACTGATTCAGTTGTGTCCTCCAACAAATGTCTAAAGTTGCACCAGTAAAGTATTACGATCGGAGGAGAATATATATTATTAGTACATACTTATAATCTAATGACGCATTAAAAGGGCACAAAAGGTACTTTTTGACGAATCTCAAAGTTGAGATACTACTTTGTAAGCCACACCCAAAGATACAGAAAAAATTTGTCAACAATTTCATTTTGGGAGCCTTGAGGAAATTTACTCTTAAAAATTTTGAAAATTTTGAAAAATGGATTCACTGGAAGATTTCAAGGGAGGATTTTATAATTTGCCTCATTCTCGATTAACTGCATCCTCCAAAAAATGTCTAAAGTTGTACCATGAAACTGAAATTTTTAGGATCAGAGGAGCATACATTCTAATGGGATGCAATCAAAAAGGCTCAAATTCATTTTTCCTTCCGAGAAGTACGCATAATAATATTGAATTTGAATTTTGAAACTTCCAGATCCAACCAAACTCGTCGTTTGTGTCCAGTTTCATATTTCAACTATAAAAATGATAGATATAGCTGTAGGGAAAGAAAGACAAAAGGGATATGGAGGGATCCTACTGTAGGAAGCGGGTGGTTACAATGCACATAGGAAGTAGGTAATGGAATAACTAACGGCACCCCACGAGGGACCCTATACTTAGTCCATCATTAACCGCTTTGTCTATAATAACTTCAAGACGACACACTTGTATAACACTTCAAGAGACAATAACTGAAAAAAATTCCAGGAGTTTCAATCCTGCTGAGCAGCCGGATTGTTGAAAGTTTCTGTTTGTCGGGACGACATAGATGACATAGGTTAAAAGGCGGAGCGTGATTGGTCGGCTATGTCTTATCGCTGCTTTGTCGTGCCTTTGTCAGGTGGATGGACGACATACTGTCGGAAACTTAAGGTGATTCGATGGACGCCATATTTTGTGTCAGAACGGCATGCGATTAATGGCATCAATTGGCTCCATTTTTTCAGCTACTCGTCATTTTTCTCCAATTTTGAGATCGCAATTCTGTTGTCAGGAGACTAAAGCACTCACTTACCAATTTTAATAAAGAAATTCAACGTAATAAAGGCGTGGTTTTTTTTTTAGAGAGAAAATATCGCATTCGAGTGCAGTTTCGATATCAGTATCGAATGCGATATTTACTCTCTAAAAAAATCACGCCTTTATTACGTAGAATTTCTTTGTTAAAACTGGTGAGTGAGTGCTTTAGTCTCCTGACAACAGAAATGCGATCTCAAAATTGGAGAAAAATGATGAGTAGCTGAAAAAATGGAACCAATTGATGCGATATATCGCATGCCGTTCTTACAAAAAATATGGCGTCCATCGAATCACCTTAAGAAGTGCCGTTAGCCTGTCGTGAGCTCAACCCGACATAGGCACGACAAAGCAGCGCTAAGACATAGCCAACCAATTACGCTCTTCTTTTTAACCTATGTCATCCATGTCGTTGCGACAAGCAAAACATTCCAACAATCAGGCTGCTGCGATTTGAACTCGGGACATATCCCGTGAGAATGTCCCGCGGAGACAAGACCTTATTCTTGCTGGAGGTCATATGTTGTCGTCACAGTTGACTCTTGACAGGGCATCACAGCAACAGTCGATGCATCCATCGTCGCAGCAGCAAGTGCAGCAACTCTCGCACTGATTAAAACAATTGCCAATGCATTCCCCGGTGAAGAATCCGGTCATCCATGCGCAGCACTCACCCCCATTATTATCACCACCATCACCGCTACAGTTGTCGTCACAACAACAAGGAAAACAGCCTGGGTCAGCTGAGGGGGCCTCGTTGTCCCCATTGCTGGTATCGCTGTCACTATCCTCCCCGCAACAGATATGGCTATGGCGCCGTCTACGTCGCAACTTTTTGCCGACTTTGCTCGCCGACAAGCCCAAGTTGTGGTAATTCATTCGGGACGGACCCAGCGGGAAATCTTGAGGGTAAGGTGGAGGTGACGGGTTATCGTGGGGACGAGGACGGAGTCTATGGGGATAGTTAGAGTGATATGGGGGATAGTTAGAGTGATATGGGGGATGGTTGGAGTGATATGGGGGATAGCGATTAGGGTAACGACGAGAAGGGGAGAAGGGATGAGGGTCAAAGCTAGGGGAAAAATTCGGGTGATCCGGGCGGCGCGTATGAGATTGTGGAGACGCGGGGTGGTTTTTCATTGGATTTACGGTTTGGGATCTCTGGGGGGTGCTTTTGGATTTGGTTTGATTTTTAAGAGATGGGATCCTCTTCTGTGAGGGGATTTTCGAGGGAAACTTGTGGCACGGGCAGAGACACACTTTTCTTCCGGAAGGAGAGTTTTTAACGAGGGATCGGTGGGATGAGAATGAGGATTTTTTATTTTGTTTTGATTTTGTTGAGCCTCTGTTGCGCCGAAGGGACCGAAATAATAAGCGACTGCTTTTGCTCCTGAAAGATGAGGAGGGCTTGGATTTCTCATCCTCGAGTTTGGGACTGACGTTCTCAGAAGATGCGATTTTCCGAATTTTCGACGAAAGCGTTCGTACTATACTCCTTGCGCCTCCGGCATTGATGGAAAATCGACTCTGTGGCTGGCTAAGATTTTTACTGGATTCGAGTGTGCGGATCGATAACTTCTGAGCGATGCCTTTGCCCGTTTCGATCGAGGGGTTTCGGAACAGTCGGGTATCGAAGCCCAAAATGAGTCCTGCGTTCTCAGCACTTTGAACGATTGTATCGTCTTGCACAGGTATGAGAGGGGCCACATCCGAAGAGCCCGAATCATGCGAAACTTTCACAGCATCTGATGACCCCAAGAAACTTCCAGAAGAGCCGCTGGGTTCCCATTTCTTTACTTTGCTCACAGAGTGTTGCGTCATAGGATGAACCTGCAAGTAAAGAGATCGACAAACACTGAGGAATTGATCTATAAAATGTTGAGTCACCAGTTTTTCTTTTTTCACTCCTTTCCCGCCCAATGAAAAAAAAAACTATTTTTCCTTTATTTTGGCGCGTATACGTAGTATACCGCCTTTGCGATCGTTTCGAACCCTGCTCGATACAATAACCGAGTCCCCTAGTTCCTTACCGAAAAGTGACTACCGCGAACTTCTGAGATTTTCCAAAGCGTGTAAAAAGTTTATTTATCCATCAATAATTATGATTTAAAGTTGTTTCTCATTCTGGGGGTCTCTAGTTTATGTGCAGTGAATACCAAGAGTCTACGTTACTTAGTTTTTTTAAAAAAAGCCTAAGAATGCGACGCGCTGATTTAAAATATGCATATATAAGCAGAATCAAGCGAACTGATTCGAGGATGGCTGAGCAGGTCGGCACTTTCGGAATGAGAATTTAACTCCTCCGTTTTGTTCAAAACGTTGCTTTGACAGATCTGTAACCTCGGTTATACTTTTCAAAAGTTGGTACCCGGGCTCTGATAGTGCAATCTGTGTAAGTGCAATCTGTGATGAGCCTCGAGACTCATTAGACCATTAGCTAAACGTGGCTCATACAGGAATCCACTTACCCCTCTCTTCAACACGCTCCTGATCACTGCGTCGGCGCACAGTGGGACGAAAAGGTGTCAAAACGGGACATTCGCACATCAGACGATAATTTTTCTCCGATCTTCTCAAAACTTGACATTTTCGGTCTTTTTGGGAAAAGGAATCCAATGTTATGTTCAGAATTTGGTTCATTGTGACAATCCCGCCAAAAATTGTGTTGCCAAGTCTCTGTTTTAATCTATTTGATAAACAGATTAGCATGATTATGGTAGAGATTTAACGCGCGTGTCGTTTGCTTTTTTTCATTGAAAAAGAAAATGAATTCACTGATCCTGAAATTGAGAAATGCTTCTATTAAGAATAAACATCCCCCCACCATCTTCTTACCTATCGCAAAAACCGCAGCGATATTTGACTATAGGGGAATGAGTTCATCAATGGACAGACATTAAAGTGAATCCGAAAATCATAAACGAATAAGTTGCTCCCAAATATTATCATT